TGCTTTCCCAAAAGTTGTTCTCATCCAGGCTGAGGTGGACTGCAGTTTCGACCTCGCATCGGTCTTATCAGCACCCCCAGCGGGAGTCGAACCATGACAGTGCAGTGTGTAAGCTCGACACGTTCAGCACTACGCCAAATTGCCACGAGTTCAGTTGGGCCACAGGGTAGATGTAAATTTCAAGGAATGTTAGTCATTTTCTACATCACATTCTGTATTGGGATTGTCGATGAAGCAGACTAATAAGTGGAAACAACCAATATGTCTGATTTACTGGTAGTCTCGAAAAACCTACTGACTTGCGAAAAAAGTAATGTAATTGGTTGCTACAGCAAATATAAGTTTGCGTCATCGAGACTTCTAACACAGAATTTGATATGGAAATGCGTGACATTCCTTGAAATTCACATCCACCCTGTGGCCTAATTGCACTCGTGACAATCTGGCGTAGTGCTTTACGTATCGAGCTTATTAGCTGCACTGGCATGCTTCGACTCCCGCTTGAGGTGTCGATTAGAGGCCTATTCGAGTTCGAAACTGCAGTCCACCCTGAATGAGAACACCTTTTGGGAAAGCAAGTCTATGTGAAATTCAATGGAAAACATCAGCTCTATTCATATCATTGTGGGAAAATTCAATTACCAATTCTTCATCACCTTAAACGAAATAGGGTGAAAGCAACTCATATATTTAGTATTTTTTTCTCACAAACCTGCATTCATTATTATTTCAGCATCTGAACACCTCATAATTTGAAGTTTTCACTCAAATTCACTCACCGAGTCATCATCGCTTTTTAGCTTGAATGTGGTCGAGTTTATTCAGATTACTTATACATGAAAAATCAAATCCTCTCTTGATAGGACTAAAAAAATTCTATCATATCTAAGCTACTCATTCTTTTTACCTCATTGATTGGCCCTAATGGTAGCAGGGCCATATCTTATCTTCTACATTGTGCTGAATAAGTACCAAGAGTAAATAAATATAAATTTTAAAACTGAATGAAATGAGTATATGATAAAAAAATTAAATTTTTTAGCTCCTATGGAGAGAAGACTACAAGGCACTCGGTTGGGCGTAGTCGCTGTCATGTGCTATCACCAAGTGATTAGACGTTTTCGTTATGGCGGCGAAATTCTGGGCCATGGCATGCTCAAATGTTTTGACATTTCCTCATGCACCTTCTTCTCTGACAAGCTCTACGAGACATGGCCACTGCAGTTCCTGTCTCAGCGTCCCTCTTTCGTGGCTGAGAAGCAAAAAAGGCTTTTTTATAGGGCAAGCAATTATCTGACTGGCGGTCTGAAAGGCTATTAGAGCGACGGGTTACATTGTGTGGACAAGAATGAAGTCGACTGCCACTGCGAGGCCGAGACTTGGCCATCTAAAATGTAGACAAATGTGTGAAAATAGATTACTATCATAATTGAGTAGATTACTATCAGTTATGGGCTTTATGAGCTAAAGCAAACCATGAGCATTTTGGGAATACTCAATCACTCACCAGTGAAAAATGAACAGCAAGTGATTATGATACAAATGTTATTGCAATATTCACCTTTTTGTTGATAATATAATTTATCTTTAATATGGATTGAAGATATTTGACCTATTTTCCGCATTGTGGATGTTTATCAAGTCCTAGTGAGCTTGAATACAGGGTAGTGGAAAATATGTCCTTTTGTTAATTCTAATAAAAAAAAACAATCAATTTCAAATCGAAGGTAGGAAGACCAGAATGGTGTGACTTTTAGTGTGGTCGAGGTCTCCTTTCGTTGTATAGAAGTCGTTTCACCTTATTTCCACATCTTTGTCAATTTGGCAGAAGGACCTTAATAAAAGCACCTTGTCCTGAGTGCTTGATAATTTCCAGAGTCGGACCGCGGACTTGGCACATTCCCTAACCTTTCGTCGGCATTGTAGTCGGCATTTTCAGTGAGCCTTGTCAGTCTTAACACCACACTACAACTCGCCAAAGAGACAATGGAAGTCGATCCTTTGACAAATTGTCTGCTAAACAGTTGTGGTATCTCTCTTTCGTCCTGGGCTATTCACATATCCTATATCCTCGTATAATCCCTTCAATATTACAATTTCTTGCTTATTTATCTAAACCCATTTGAAACCTATTCACACTACCCGCTGGGTTCCACATTCCTGCAAAGTTTTCGCTTATCCTGTCTTCTTCAAGTCTCTGTTCATTAGATTTCTTTCAGTCAGGATATTGATGGATTCTGGTATCTTGCATTTTTTTTGTGTTTCCACCATATGCAGCTAGCTTTTCTGTCGATTTTCACTCGATTTCGTGTCCCGTCCGTCCGATGTGTTCTGTCATTCCTGATCTTTCAGTGTCCATGTTTATGCAGATATTTTGCTGTTCCCTGATTTGTAGGTTGATTTTTATTCCTGTTTCACTAATATACCTCTGCTCACAGTTGCCTTATTAGACGCTATAGACTCTCGAGCAATCCAGTTTGTCAACTTTCTCGTTTTGCGCCGACAGGCTTGTGAATAAGGTTGTATTTTATTTTGTTATTACCTTGATATCCCATTTTCTTAGCAACGATCGCAATTTCTGACCCAGTTTACAGGAGGACAGGCATATCCACTTTTTGTCGTCCTCCCGATTCCTGATCTCTTTTTCATAAAATCCTAGTTGAAATCTCCTCTTTATGACCCCTATATTCCTTTCTATAAATCCATTAAAGTACCTGTTACTGAGACAAATCCGAGTCAGTTTCTCCAACTCCTAGTTCCAGAACTCGGTGTCCTTTAGTCTTAAGCTTCTGGTGATCATACTCCTCATTATTTCAATCTTCAGTCTGTAGTTGTTATGAGACCGGAAATTGAGGATTATTCCCGCATGTGATTTCTTTCTTAATAGTCTCCTCTTGAGTAGTTCGTTAGAGCAAATGACCTTAAGATCCAGTTATGATAGTCATTTATCCTCCCCCACTTCCAAAAGTGGATATGCCTGTCCTCCTGTAAACTGGGTCAGAAAATGGGATATCAAAGTAATAACAAAAGAAAAAACAACTTTATTCACAAGCCTGTCGGCGCAAAACGAGAAGGTTGATAAACTGGATTGCTCAGGAGTCTATAGAATTAATACTGCAACTTTGAGCAGAAGTATATTAGTGAAACAGGAATAAAAATTAGCCTACAAATCAGGGAACAGCAAAGAGTCTGCATAAACATGGACAGTAAAAGATCAGAAATGACATAACACATCGCACGAACGGGACAGAAAAGCTGGCTGCATATGGTGGAAATACTAAAAAAAAGCAAGATACCAGAATCCATCGATATCCTGACTGAAAGAAATCTAATGAACAGAGACTTGAAGAAGACAAGATAATCGAAAACTTTGCAGGAATATGGAACCCAGCGGGTAGTGTGAATAATTTTCAAATGGGTTTAGATAAATAAGTAAGAAATTGTAATATTGAAGGGATGATTGGAGGATATAGGATATGTGAATAGCCCAGGACGAAGAGGAGATACTACAACTGTTTAGCAGACAATTGGTCAAAGGATCGACTTCCATTGTCTCTTTGGCAAGTGGTTGTGTGGTGTTAAGACTGACAAGGCTCACGGAAAATGCCGACTACGATGCCGACGAAAGGTCTGGGAATGTGCCAAGTCCACGGTCCGACTCTGGAAATTATCAAGCACTCAGGACAAGGTGCGTTCATTAAGGTCTTCCTGCCAAATTGACAAAGATGTGGAAATAAGGTAAAACGACTTCTATACAACGAAAGGAGAGCGCGACCACACTAAAGGTCACACCATCCTGGTCTTTATACCTTCGATTTGAAATTGATTGTCTTTTTTTATTAGAATTGATAAAAGGGCATGTTTTCCACTGCCCCGGATTCGAGCTCCCTAGGACTTGATAAACATCCGCAATGGGATTCGGTACCGGGTTGTGAGCGCTATATAGACGTTATCATTTCGCAACATATCCATAGAGTCAAGTGGCTCACAGGGCAGATGCGATATTGAAGATAAGTCAGGCCTCTACAAAATCACCTGTTATAGTGGGATTGTCGATAAAGCAAACATGCTTTTTCTATTGAGATCCAGAGTTCTAATTATATGATGTGCATTCACTCTATTTCGTTTAAGGTGGCAATTTGACTAGTTGAAGAATATCTTTTGGGGAAGTATGGCTATGTGAAATTCAATGGAAATTGAGGTTCTACCCATATCATTGTGGGACATTTCAACTACAAGTCCCCTTACACTTCAAACAAAATAGATTGAATACATCTCATATATATGATCTACTGGTAGCCTCTAAAACCTACTTATAACCGAAAATAATGTTTTACTTATGTTCAATGTGAGCTAGTTTCAAGACTATGAATAACTCTAGATGAGGGAACTACTTGAAAAGCAAGGCTAAGTAAAGTGAGACCTGTTTATATAATTGTGACAAAGGCTCAAATATTAGTCCATAAATAACCCTATGCAGTCTAGGGTGACTCAAATATTATTCAAGTCTCCAAACTCCAGCGAGATGCTAGACCCCCAAATGCGCATGGTCTGCTCAAAACCTATAAGCAGGGACTCAGGTCCAGTCCCTGTGTGCATTTCACTCCTGGCGCTATTTCTCAAGACCCTAGTGAAATCGGTCAACCAGAAAGATAAGGAACGGATCTACGAGACAATGAAAGGATCCGGATTGG